AACTAAAGCACAACAAGGTCAAATAGCTTGTATAAGGTCCCACAGAGTAAGTAAGAGGTACATTGTGGATTTGAACCTAGGCAATTTGTTTTCAGAGCCTGCCTTAGGAAACAGGGCCAGAGAGACTGAATAACTCTTAAAAGCCCATGGAGCTAGTAAGAGGCAGAACTGGGATTCAAACATAATATATGACTCCAATCCATTGCTGTTCCAATGTGCCAAACACCACACTTCTCATTCACTGTTTTCTCTGCTTCTTTCTGGATAGGATTGCTTCCATGGTGCCAGCTTATAGCAAAGCACAGGGGATCTATTAAAAGATACTTTAAGAATTCAAAATAGGTTGATAAAAAGGGTTGATAAAAAGGCAAAGAAGAATTTGGAATCAGTCTGGTAGAGCTCTCTTTATTTAGTACTTTGGTCTGAGTATTTATTTTTACATTTGGTTTCTGTGGCGTACTCCTAGTTTTAGTTAAGAGTACTTTTGTTTTAGATTGTAGTTTCAGAATTTAAAGGCATAATGTCTCTTTTATTATGATAGATCTGATTATGGGCCTGTTATTTGTATGTTGGAGCAGACCAGAAAGGGCTGGAACCTGGAATCAGGCTTGTCCTTGAGGTGGGCAGATGTTGATGGGGGAGAGGTGATGTGAAGCGGCTAAACCCTCATAGATAGTGTATGAGCTTCCTAGGGTTGTTGTAACAAAGTACTGTGGAGTGGTGGGCTAAAACAACAGAAATGGATTCTTGCACAGTTGGAGGGTTACTGTTCAACCCGGTACAGATAGTGTCCAGAGAGTAAGCAGCAAATGGCTCTGCAAACAGCAGAGGGAAGACTACCCAGAGTACAGGGAGCGAGGCTGGCAGAGGACACTCTAGGAGCAGGCTGTGATCAGAGACTCAGGCAGCTCACAGTCATTTGATCAGCACATAGGAAGATCTTTGTTCCAAGCTGGTCTCCCCTCTGTATGGTACCCTAGCAAGAGCAGGCTGAAATATTTGAGACCGGGCAAACATGCCAAGAAAAAGAACAAGGCAAGTCCTCAGGATTGGGATTATGAAAAGCCTAGGTCTCAGGAATAAAGTAAAGCTCAGATATGAGAGTGGGGCCAAGTAGTTCAGGGCCAGTCATCCAGCAACTGTGACTTACCACTGCTGAGTCCCAGAGAGTTGGCTAGAGTATCTAAAACCCCTCCTTCCCAGGATAGGCATGGAGCCCAGGCATCAGTGAGCCTTCAGGTTGGGGTCCAGTTGGCTGTAGATGAGGCATGGTAGAGAGAAATGAATTCGAGGCTTCATTGCTATAGTTCAAAAACAAACTTTGAGCTGGGCACGGTGGCTCATGCGTGTGATCCCAGCACTCTGGGAGGCCAAGGCGGGTGGATCACCTGAGGCCGGAAGTTTGAGACCAGCCTGGCCAACATAGTGAGACCTTGTCTCTACTAAAAATGCAAAAACTGGCTGTGGGTGGTGGTGCATGCCTGTAATCCCAGCTACCTGGGAGACTGAGGCAGGAGAATCGCTTGAACCCACGAGGCAGAGGTTGCAGTGAGCTAAGATTGTGCCATGAGACTCCGTCTCAAAAAGAAAAAAATTTATGAACAGTAACATTCATCAAGAATTGTTTATGATACAATTAGGAAGTGGTCTGTGACAAACTCCAGAGGGTCTCCAAAGTGAATGAAAGACAAAATGCACTGAATAAGGATTCTCGTTTAGAAATTTAAGTCCAAGTGTCTCAGACCAGGACTTATTAACGCAGGCCTCCATTACAACTGTCCCAGCACTGACTGAGTAGCTAGATGATACATTAAAAGCTGATTGAGCCTGTGACCTTATACAAAGGCTGGAATGTAACTAAGAGCCCACCAAGAGTTTTGTCTAGGCTTTGCCTGGGCCTTGAAGCATGTCAAGATAATGAAGGAATTCTTAGCAGGACCCTTTTAGGATTAAGCAAATTTTATTGGGGGTCTGAAGAAACTCTCCAGGCCTCCACAAACAAGTTCATTGGGGTCTAAAGGAACTCCCCAAACCTTTGTGATTTAGCAGGATACAAGATAAGAGTAATCACCCTAGCACCTAGACCCATTTAGATTAAGTAAACTTACTGAGGCTTCAGAAGGTCTTGAGGACTCAGACCTTAGTTATAGCTTAAAAGAAGTTAATCACTTAGGTTTGTAGACAAATGCACACTTACACATAGACATATAGCTTAGAAGGTATATAAGCTCTGAAAAACTTTGTAATTTTGAGTTGGTCTGGTGATAATTTCCACGCCTTTTCCCTGTGGCTAATTACAGAAATAAAACCTCTCTTCTTCCGGGCCACAAGAAATAGCAGCCCGACAGTTTGATCCCGGAACACAAGGGAGACAAGGACAATCACAAGTGTGCGGGCACACACACACACACACACACACACACACACACACCTACTGTAAATGAATGCAGCTAGAAGGATGGAGGCAGGTAGGTGAGGAAGCCATTGACTAGCACCAGCATTGGGGTTCTCTGTTCTTATGAACCGTCTAGGATATAATTCTTATATAATCATTTCACCTTAAAGGTGAGGGGGAAAATAGACAGGTGTGGATCAGTCAGAGTCCTAAGATGTATGGCAGGCTGGCTTTCAGTTACGTTAAAGAAGTAATCAAAGTCCCAGAGAAGCATTGTTAATCAATCAATCTAAAAAGAAAGGGTCAAAAACCAACCTCTCTGATGAGAGTAGACAGACTGACTTGCAAGTGTTCCCTAGGAAGAACAGTAGCTTTCATTTTACAAATTACTTTAACATTACTACATTTAGACCGGGCGTGGTGGCTCATGCCTATAATCCCAGCACTTTGGGAGGCTGAGGCGGGTGGATCACCTGAGGTTGGGAGTTCAAGACCAACCTGACCAACATGGAGAAACCCTGTCTCTACTAAAAATACAAAATTAGCCGGGCATAGTGGTGCATGGCTGTAATCCCAGCTACTCAGGAGGCTGAGGCAGGAGAATCGCTTTAACCTGGGAGACGGAGGTTGTGGTGAGCCGAGATCATGCCATTGCACTCCAGCCTGGACAACAAGAGCGAAACTCTGACTCAGAAAAAAAATTAATATTATTACATTTTTCATTCCCTTTATCTAAAGCACACAATATTACCCAAAGAGCCCATTCTTATTTACACCTTGCCAGGGCACCTTACCACTTGGCAGAGGCAGAAACTGACAAGGTTTTTTTTTGTTTTGTTTTGTTTTTGAGACTGAATTTCATTCTTGTTGCCCAGGATAGAGTGCAGCGGCGCAGTCTTGGCTCACTGCAACCACCGCCTCTCAGGTTCAAGTGATTCTCCTGCCTCAGCCTCCCAAGTAGGTGGGATTACAGACATGCACCACATGGTTGGTTATTTTTTTGTATTTAGTAGAGATGGGGTTTCACCATGTTGGTCAGGCTGGTCTCAAACGCCTGACCTTGGCCTTCCAAAGCGCTGGGATTCGGCATGAGCCACTGTGCCCGCCTCAGAGTTTGTTTTTGAATTGTAGCAATGAAGCTTTGAATTTACTTCTCCCTACCAAGCCTCATCTGCAGCCAACTAGACCCCAACCTGAAGGCTCACTGCTGTCTGGGATCCATGCCTATCCCTGGGAAGGATGGGTTTTAGATGCTCTAGCCAACTCTCTGGGATTCAGCAGTAGTAAGTGACAGTTGCCTATGACCTTTGGAAAAGGTTTTTTTTTTTCTAAATTTGTTGTTAACTTTGTTAGTGATGTTTTGTTGTACAGAAATACCACGTTTTAATTTTGTCATATATTAGTCTTTATAGTTGTTAGCTTTGCTGTCATGTCTAGAAAGATTCTAAAAATAATCACATGCTTTCTTTAAGAACTGTTATGGTTTTGTATTTTCTTTTAATCTGGGTAGAATTAATTTTGGTATGTTCTATGAAATACAGGTTAATCAATTTTTCTCAAATAATTAACCTGTTATCTTAGCATCATAAAACAATGTGATTTCTGCTGTGAGAAACTCTGGTATTGCGTCCTCTGAATTTCGAAAGACGATGTTGTGGCAGGTTTGTAAGAGGTATTCTATCATGTGTTAATATTTAGCAAGTCCCTGATCTTGGATTGATGACTTGGTGACCATAATTTCTGAGTATACTAGGTTGTATACATTTGCCTCCTGAGTCTCTTCTAGTCCTAAAAAAAGTATTTACTTTAGAAAGTGGCTTTCACCAGTTTCCCTCAAAGTTTGTGAATTCTGCTTTGTGGAGGACCTGTTTTTAACCATAGCCTATGTCCTATCACCAAATATGCTTTTCTGCTCCTTCATTTTGTCAACTGATAATTGCTCTGAGATTGTAAACTAATACTTGTTTTGGCAGTACAAAAATGGACTACAGTGTGTACTTGCTGTCCATTTAATACTACAGATTACAAAGCCGTATAACATTTATGTTTGCTACTGTTATATTCTTTGTGCTCTAGCCCTTCTCTGATATGTGGATAATTTAGAGGTAATGATAGTATTTAATATGCTTGATTTTGTTCTTTAAGGCAAGAAATTTCTTTTTTTTTTTTTGAGACGGAGTGTCGTCTGTCACCTAGGCTGGAGTGCAGTGGTGCCATCTTGGCTCACTGCAACCTGCACCTCCCAGGTTCAAGCAAGTCTACTGCCTCAGCCTCCAGAGTAGCTAGGATTACAGGCGCCCGCCACCACGCCTGGCTAATTTTTGTATTTGTAGTAGAGACAGGGTTTCACCATATTTTCCAGGCTGGTCTTGAACTCCTGATCTCAGGTGATCCGCCTGCCTTGGCCTCTCAAAGTACTGGGATTATAGGCATGAGCCACTGTGCCCAGTCAACAAATTGATTTTTTTAGCTATTAATGTTTACCAAGTATTATAGTTGGGTGAAGTCTTCAAGCTTAGAAGTAAACCTCCAGCATGTTATTACCTTAGGAATTTGTGTCAAGGCTGACTGAACCTAAATCTCTTAAATGTTTTGTTTTTTGTAGAGAGGAAAATACAGTGTTCCCAAGTGGCTCTCTCCCAGTAGTATTCTGCTGCTTCAACAAATGCTGCAGGTAAACTTTATTTTTAAATAAAGAAGTCTATTGTAATTGTTTGATTCAACTTTTAAGATATCTGTGCTGCTACTACATTTACCATTAACTTAAAAAAAATCCCACTCACATCTACCTTGAAAATATCCTCTATTAGGTCCTTTCTTAATTATGTTGTAAAACCAATCTATTTTAGACACCTACCATATGTCTTAGCTGATACGGCTTTTCTTACTTTTTCTTGAGCATTGTCTGTTTTTTCTGACTAGCCCTTGCTCTACTCTCTTTTATTCCCAAATCTTTTTTTGAGACAGAGTCTCACTCCTTCGAAGACCCAGGCTGGAGTGCAGTGGGTTGATCTTGGCTCACTGCAACCTTTGCCTTCTGGGTTCAAGTGCTTCTGCTTTCCGAGTAGGTGGGATTATAGGAATGAGCCGCCATGCTGGCTATGTTTTTTATTCAAACAATTGTCTTGCCTCTGCCTCCTAAGTAGCTGGGATTATAGGCGTGAACCACCATGCCCGGCTAATTTTTGTATTTTTAGTAGAGATGGAGTTTTGCCATGTTAGCCAGGCTAGTCTTGAGCTCCTGATCTCAAGTTATGTGCCTGCCTCAGCCTCACAAAGTGCTGGGATTATAGGTGTGAGTCACCATACCCAATTTATTTTGGACACCTACCATATGTCTTAGCTGATATGTCTTTTTTTTGAGACGAAGTCTCCCTCTGTCACCCAGGCTGGAGTGCAGTGGTGTGATCTTGGCTCACTGCAATCTCTGCCTCCCAGTTTCAAATGATCCTCCTGCCTCAGCCTCCTGTGTAGCTGGTACTACAGGCGTGTGCCACCATGCCTGGCTAGTTTTTGTATTTTTAGTAGAGACAGGGTTTCACCATGTTGGCCAGGCTGGTCTCAAACTCCTGACCTCAAGTTTTCCGCCTGCCTTAGCCTCCCAAAGTGCTGGGAGTACAGGCGTGAGCCACTGGCCTCCTTTTTTCTTTCTTTTTTTTTTTTTGAGACAGAGTTTTGCTCTGTTGCACAGGCTGAAGTCCAATGGCATGATACTGGCTCACTGCAGCCTTCGTCTCCTGGGTTCTCGAGTTCAAGTGATTCTTGTGCCTCGGCCACCTGAGTAGCTGGGATTACAAGTGTGTGCCACCACGCCCAGCTGGTTTTTGTATTTTTAGTAGAGATGGGATTTCACCGTGTTGCCCAGGCTGGTCTTGAACTCCTGACCTTAGGTGATCCACCAACTTGGCCTCCCAAAATACTGGGATTACAGGTGTGAGCCACTGCGCCCAGCCTGGCCTCTCAAAAAAAATTTTTTTTTATAGACAGGGTCTCACTCTGTCGCCCAGGCTGGAGTTACGATCTTGGCTCACTACAGCTTCGAACCCCAGGCTCAAGTGATCCTTCTACCTCAGCCTCCTAAGTAGCGGGTACCACTGGTGCACACCACCACACCTGACTAATTTCCTGTATTTTTTCTTTAGTTTTTTTTTTTTTTTGGTTGTTTTTAAATTATTTATCATTTTATTCCTTACTTTCAGAAAACTGTGTATTTTTTGTAAAGATGGGTTTTTGCTGTGTTGCTCAGGCTGGTTTTGAACTCCTGAGCTCAAGTGATCTGCCTGCCTCAGCCTCCCAAAGTGCTGAGATTACAGGTATGAGCCACCGCATCTCACCTATTCCCAACTCTTGCACATTAAATACATTAGTAGATACTGAATAAATGCTTGCATGAGTGGATATACTATTGAATGGGCCCTGTGATGTAGTGCAGTGGTTCTTAAATTTCAGCAGGTATCAAAATTACCCCATGGGCTTGTTAAAACACAGATTGCTTGACTCCAGCCCCAGAGTGTATGATTCAGTAGATCTGGGGCAAGACCGAAATTTTGCATTTCTAACAAGCTCCCAGAAGATGCTGATGCTGCTGATCTTGGGACCACACTTTGAAACCCACAGATTTAGTGGAATGAGCCTCTGAGGGTGAAAGATAGGAGTGAAGTCTAGGTAAGCACTCTACCAATCAATCAAGGTATCACCTAATCTTACCTATAAAATGGGGGTTCTGAGCCTGGCCTCACTGCTATGTAGTGTTATGAGGACAAAATCAGATTGATAGGAAACACTTTGAAAATATGAGTATCTTATTAGTGCAATTTTTTTTTTCATTATATATTCAGAATATCTTCTGGTTTTTTTCATCTATTAAGTCGTCTCCTTCTTTTATTCAAAATTTACCTCAGGCTTACTCACCTTGATTAAGTAGGACCAGACCACCCAATCTCCATAATGAGATTGAAAACGCCTACACTTTCTTCTGGACTCCAAAGAAAACCTTAATCTTTGTTGATTAATTTTTCTCTCCTTACATTTGAAAATTACAGATGGAAAGGTGTGCCTTTCCACTTGTTCTGTGTGATTGTAAGCTCATCGGAGGTAGAGATTGCATATTCAGTATGAATGCCCTGCATTGTGGCTGCTTGAATGTTAAATTGGTGAATATTTCCCCTGAATAGGTTTTCCAGCAAAAGACTATTACATCATACAATAGATTGACTGAACTTCATGAATAATGTCCATACCAATGAAATTCATGTTTATTAAATATTTATCTTCCAAGACTGTGTTGGTTGCTATAGTTTTCTCGCCTCTATTGGCTCCTTTAAAGAATTTATTCCGAGACCATTTTAAGGTCTTTGACAGCATTTTTGTGATGATAAAGTTTACATCTGTTCCAATGCGTTTTGAGTTCTCAGGAGGAAAGGTGTTCTACGTTCTCTATTTGAAATGTTAATCTCTAGCTACTTTTTAATGGCCACTAGGTGGACCCAAAGAAACGGATTTCTATGAAAAATCTATTGAACCATCCCTGGATCATGCAAGATTACAACTATCCTGTTGAGTGGCAAAGCAAGAATCCTGTAAGTAAAATGAAATCCAGTAAAAAAATTTTTTTTAAACTTTGTATGGTCTTTGGGTAAATTCAGAACCTATAATGATGTGGTCTAAATATACAAGAAAATATATTTTGTAGACTTATTAATCAGATTGGTGTTTGGAAGATTTGTAAACTAATGTACCGTGGTTCCTTAACCCCACCTGCAAATAGAGAATTACCTGGGACCTTAAAACCACCCCAGAACACTTAATGGGAGTTTTTAAAAGCTCCCAGGTGTTTCTCTTGTTTAGTCAGTCACGGGGCTCTGGGAATCTTGGACAAGTTACTTAACTTTGCAGAACCTATTTATTCATCTGTGAAAAGTAGGTTAAACCAGTTTTACTTCCCAGAGAAGTTACGAGGGTACAGTAGTTCTCCAACTTTTTAGTTTGAGGACCCCTTTATACTCTTAATGTTTATTTATTAAAAAATGACGTCATAAACCTATTACATATCAATATATATTTTTTATGAAGAATAACCATTTACAAAATAAATTTAGAGAAAAGAATGGGGTTGTTTTACATCTTGGCAAATTTCTTTAGTCTGGCTTAATAGAAGACACCTGTATAGTCACCTGCTTCTGTGTTTGGTCTGTTTTGATACGTTGTTTTGATTGAAGCCTAGGAATAAAATGCAGATATGTAGTAGGAAAAGGGAAAAGAATTTTAATAGCCTTTTTAGACAGCTTCTGATATTCCATTAAAACTTGACAAATGGTAGTTTCCTAAAGGGTAATTGCATGTGGAATCTGAAGTCAATGAAATTTTGCACTTTATTCCATAAAATCCATTGGTCTGTCCAATGAATCTTTCCCCCACATAACATGATGCATTGGTTATTTGGAAAACACTGGTTCACTGAGTTATGCAAATCTTTCAAATGTTAACACATTTCATTATTCATTGTTAAATCACATTCCTTAGAATCACCACTGATCTCAGTAGAAAAGTCCTTAACTATTGGAAAGCACTCAAGATCATGGCGGCAGATAAAAGTTTTCTAAAATTCTAATTTTTGCTTGAAAGCTCAAATTCTATCATTAACAACAAGTATGTCAGCTATTTTCCTTGAACTGACAAGTTCTCTTGATTCATTTTTGAGGAAATGTCTGCTAAACATTTAAGTCTAAATAACCATAGTTTGTCAGTGTTCTTTGCAGTCAAAATGGTGTTCTTTGAAAACAATGGCTAATTAGGCCAGACTGGGTAGCTCACACCTGTAACCCCAGTACTTTGGGAGGCTGAGGCAGGCGGATCACTTGAGGTCAGGAGTTCTAGACCAGCCTGGCCAACATGGTAAAACCCTGTCTCTACTAAAAATACAAAAAATTAGCTGGCATGATGGTGCATACCTGTAATTTCAGGTACTCGGAAGGCTGAGGCAGGAGATTTGCTTCAACCCAGGAGGGCAGAGGTCACAGTGAGCCAAGATTGCACCACTGCACTCCAGCCTTGGGTGACAGAATGAGACTCTGTCTTGAAACAAAAAGAAAAAAATGGCTAATTGAGCTCATAATTCAGTCACATAGGTGCTTTTCCTTGAGATAGCTATCATACTTTGGTATGTAGAAGTGCATAATGCTACTTCCTGTTTAGTCACACAGAATATTAAAAACATGTACTCAAAGTAAAAATCTAATCAAATTAATGTCTTTTACTGGTTTATCAGGGAAATTATTTCCCCCCAAGATGGAGTTTTACTCTTCTTGTCCAGGCTGGCCTGCAATGGTGGGATCCCGGCTCACTGCAACCTCTGCCTCCCGGGTTCAACTGATGCTCCTGCCTTAGCCTCCCAAGTAGCTGGGATTACAGGCACGTGGTACTACACCTGGCTAATTTTCGTATTTTTAGTAGAGATGGGGTTTCGCCATGTTGGCCAGGCTGGTCTGGAACTCCTGACCTCAGGTGATCCGCCCACTTCGGCCTCCCAAAGTGCTGAGATTATAGGCATGAGCCACCATGCTTGGCTGTATCAAGGAAATTCTTAATTGAAGCTGACTTTTTTTCGAACTATGGGTGTATGACAAATAATACAATATTTTAGTGTAGTTTGATGCTGCTGTATTTGATTTGTACTAAGGTGCCAGCAATTTTATTTATTTATTTATTTATTTTAATTTTTAATTTTTTTGAGAGGGAATCTCACCATTATTGCCCAGGCTGAAGTGCAGTGGTGTGATCTCGGCTCACTGTAACCTCTGTCTCTCGGTTTTAAGCAATTCTTCTGCCTCAGCCTCCCGAGTAGCTGGGATTACTGGCACATGCCACAATGTCTGGCTAACTTTTGTATTTTTAGTAGAGGTGGGATTTCACCATGTTGGTCAGGCTGGTCTTGAACTCCTGACCTCAGGTGATCTGCCTGCCTCAGCCTTCCATAATGCTGGGAGCCACCGTACCCAGCTGCCAGCAATTTTATTTATCACTGCTTTCGTACCATCCATACAAATGTCAACATTTTGAAAAATGAAAAATAAGCCGGGCATGGTGGCTCACACCTGTGATCCCAGCACTTGGGGAGGCTGAGGCGGGCGAATCACAAGGTCAAGGGATCAAGACCATCCTGGCCAACATGGTGAAACCCTGTCTCTACTAAAAATACAAAAATTAGCTGGGCATGGTGGCATGTGCCTGTAGTCCCAGCTACACAGGAGGCTGAGGCAGGAGAATTGCTTGAACCCAGGAGGTGGAGGTTGCGGTGAGCCAAGATTGTGCCACTGCACTCAAGCCTGGTGCCTGGCACAGAGTGAGACTCTGTCTCAAAAAAATAATAATAATAAAAAAGAAAAGAAAAATGAAAAATAGTATTACTTAAAATTTTTTTTCTTTTTTTTTTTTTTTTTTAAATAAAAAGATGGGGTTTCACCATGATGGCCAGGCTGGTCTGGAACTCCTGACCTCAGGTGATCCACCCACCTTGGCCTCCCAAAGTGCTAGGATTACAGGCGTGAGCCACCGCACCTGGCCAAAAAATAGTATTATTATAAAAATAGTTTGACCTTGGAGACCCTCAGGCATCTGCAGACTGTACTTACAGAACTGGTCTAATATGTGTATATGTAAAAAGCATAAACAACCCTAAGTGTTATTTAAGTTTAAGCAATTCTAAAAATATTATTTCTACATTGTTTTTTAAAAATGCCTTTTTTTTTTTTGAGAGGGAGTCTCTGTTGCCCAGGCCGGAATGCAGTGGCGTAATCTCGGCTTACTGTAACCTCTGTCTCTCGGGTTCAAGTGATTCTCCTGCCTTAGCCTCCTGAGTACCTGGGACTACAGGTGCCTGCTACTGCGCCTGGCTAATTTTTGTGTTTTTTAGTAGAGATGGTGTTTCCTCATGTTGGCCAGGCTGGTCTTGAACTCCTCACTTCATGATCTGCCTGCCTCAGCCTCCCAAAGTGCTGGGATTACAGGCATGAGCCACTGAGCCTGGCCCAAAGAGAAGTATTTTAATAGGCTTTCCAGATAATTAGGGATATTCTCTGATACCTCACCAAAACTTTGCAATGGACTAGGACATTGTGCATGAATCGACAGAGTAGCTTAGAAGTGTGTCTCAGATATGCTACGGTGTAGTATTGGTACTTCTATGGGGTATTTTCTTTCTGGAATAATCATACCAGTGTAAATGCCCTTCCCAGTGGCCAGCTCATCCTGGAAAGATAGACTATACTTGCTTCAAGCCCCTTCTCACTATTCTGCCCACTATTAATGGGCCATGTGGCCTGAACTGAAATCAATCCTGATTCTTCTATGATTGTTAACTCCTAAAACTTCTCTTATCCAAATTCCCCTGGCCCTACGTGACATCTTTAATATCTATTCAGAAAATACAACATAATTCTAAAAGCAACCACACCAAGATCCTAAGAATAGCAGAATGTGCAAGTGTCTGAGCCGTGCAGCAGTAGAACCAGGAAAGCTGTGATGTGCCCCTCTCGAGGTGGAGAGATGGGTGGTGCAAATGCCTGTGTTCAGCCATTGGGGGTCATCATTTCTCCATGTGTGGAGGGCTTTCCACGTCTTGTCAGCCATGATTCTAATAGGATAGGATACATTACTGTTTGTGTTAGAAGAGATGCCAAAATGAAGAAAGTCTCTGCTTTCTACAACCTCAAGAGTCTTTTTTATTTAGGACACAGTATAAAGTAAAATATACATAGTTTTGAGTATTCCAAAAGAGTATACAGCTTCCCTTGCATCTTAATAATTGCTACTATTTATTGAGTATGTAGAGTAAAATAGTGTACTATTATAGAACGGGCTCTCTGTATATTATGTTGTGGTATAATATAGGCAGGACTCTTAGGATAGTACTTTTAAGAGTCAGGCACTATCCTATGGGCTTAATCTGTACACCAACCGTCTGAAGTAGGTACTATTATTGCCCCCTTTTGCAGATGAGGCAGCTGAGACACAGAATCATTAAGGGACTTGCTCAAGGTCAAACAACGAGTAATTGTAGAACCAGGATTTGAACCCACACCAAAGGGTTCTGGAATAGAATGGATCTGATAGGCTAGCTGATTCAAGCTCAGGGCCTACGTCCTGTATATTTGTAGCCTTTGTGGCAAGCATTGCTTATCTGGTCTCTGTTGAGCAGAGTGATGGAGAGATGGTATTGTGTTATGGTAGAAAAATGTGGGGCTAGGAATGAAAAATGCCAGTCTTAGGCAAATCACAGTAACTTTTCTGAGTCTTCATTTTATTACCTCTAATATGGGTATTCTAATGTCAATCTGTGCATGTTTGGGTCACATTTTGCCATTTATAGAGTACCTTTACATGGTATATCATTAATCTCTTTTGCCTGCCTTTCAGAGCTGTTACAGGATCAAATGAATTATATACAGGAGAGGTATAATGGATTGTTGTTGCTTTTTGAAGGATTTGCTTTTCTGTTTCAGTATTGTGTTTCATCAAGAGTGAATTATTTAAAAAATTCAGATTTACTTGAATATTTAAGGTATAGATGCTATTCTATAACTCTATGCATGATCTCCTGCTGCCATTTTCATACATAGTTCTGGTACCCAAGTATTGTATCAAATAGAAGTTATAGTCAGTTCCATTTTCGACCCTAGTGAACAGGAAATGTAGTAGGCACGGATAATCCAAAATAATTGGCTAGCTTTTGGTATGCATTTTTTGATGCATTTTTGTATTTAATTATTAAAACTTGAATATGTGTTACTGAGAATTCAGAGTGCTTTAAGTGTTGATCCTCTTTGGAAAACACAGCTTGAGATGAATCATGTTTTTCAGACCTTTGGTATCTTTTCTACCCCACTCATTTCATTGTTTCTAGCTCAGGAGCCCAGCAAAGACGGTGGCACCCCCTTCTTCCATCTCCTCCCTTTCTCATACATATGCCTTATGGTAAAGGTATGGGAAGGAGGCTGTGGGAGAAAGAGATTCTTTTAGAGTTAAAAAATCTTTTGTAAACTTAAGATGATGGAGGGAACCTCAAAAATCTCTTTTCTTGTTTCAGTAGTGATGACATCAACAAGACAGGTATTAAAATGTCTAGGCTTCTGAGGTTGAGATCATCTTGAGGGGGAATCTGTAGTTCCAGGAGCAGCCACAGTCAAAGCAGCACAATGAAAACTTACTCTTAGCACTTTGGACTTTCACAGTACCACTAGTATAAACTGTGGTCTCTACTTTGTAACCCATGAGGTTGTGCTTATACTAGTCAATAATGCAAGGCTTTCTTAGTCTGAGCTGCTGTGACAAAATACCATAAATTGGGTGGCTTAGAGAGAACAGAAATGTATTTCTCACAGTTCTGGAGGTTGGGAAGTTCAAGATCAAGGTATCATAGAGCCCAGAGTTCTGGAGAGTAAAAATAAAGAAAGAAAGAAAAAGGTTAAGGCACCAGCAGATTTGGTGTTTGATGAGGGCCCACTTTCTGGTTCATAGAAGGATTCTTTCTTGCGGTGTCCTCACATGGTGGAATGGGACAGAGGGGAAAGGCCTCTGGGGCCCTTTTTTTTTTTTAAAGAGATAGGGTCTCACTCTTTGACCCAGGCTGGAGTGCAGTGGCTTGATCATACCTCACTATAACCTTGAACTTTTGGGCTCAAGTGATCCTCCCTCCTGAGTAGCTGGGACTACACATGTGAGGCATTGCACCTGGCTAATTTTTGAATATTTTTTTGTAGTGATGGGGTCTTGCTGTGTTGCCCAGGCCAGTCTCCAACTCCTGGCTTCAAGTGATCCTCCCACCTCAGCCTCCCAAAGCCCTGTGGATTACGGGCATGAGCCATTGCACTTTGGCCTGGGGCCTCTTATATCAGGGTACTAACCCCATTTATGAGGGCAGAACCCACTCATGACCTACTCTTCTCCCAAAGGTACAACTCCCTAATACTATTACAGTAGTAATTAGGTTTCAACATATGAATTGAGGGGAAAAATTTGTCTTTACTGTTTATTTTCATGATGGCAGCCTGACTTTCTCTTGAGTTCATTGATACAAGTGTGATGTTCAAAACAAGGGAAGCTTATGATGCTGTTCTGCCTTGGGCTGGGCAGACCTCTCTTTCATGTTATGTTTGGTTCTGAATACCTCACTTCCATGTGTAGTATCAACCTGGAGTCTGATCTGTAGAAAAGGCCAGAATCCTAAAGGGAGTTAATCATTAAAGTGAGGGTTGACAGATCTAGAAAACAGAAGACTTGGAGAGGAAAGGTTGCCCATATTGGGAATACTCAAATTTCTGAAAGACTCTTCTATCACAGAAGAAATAGAATTATGACTGTTGGTGAAAATAACCATTTTTTGAGGGCCAACTCTGTTGAGATGTTGAACTTGTTCTATGTTACATGTATTGCAGGGCATGTACCATCTCTCTCTAACCGATGATAAAACTGAGAGTCAGGGGTGTAGTCATGTTCAAAGCCACATGGTTATTAAGTCCTGTTGCAGTTAAAACTAAGGTCTGTCTAATTCCAAAGCCTGTTAGCCGTCAGGCTGTACCAACTCCCAGTGGACAGAGATCACAGGAAGACAGACCTCAGGCAGCAGGAGGGAGATGCTAACCATTCCACCTGTTCTGTGTACCTTGAAGAGGAGGCCTTTAAGCAGAATGTAAATGTAAAGCATCCCTCACTGGGGCTGTGAGAGTTCTTTTTTTTTTTTGAGACACAGTTTTGCTCAGTTGCCCAGGCTGGAGTGCAATGGTGTGATCTGGGCTTACTGCAACCTCTGTCTTCTGGGTTCAAGCAATCCTCCTCCCACAGCCTCCCGAGTAGCTGAGTAGCTGTAATCACAGGCATGTGCCACCACGCCCGGCTAATTTTGTATTTTTAGTAGAGATGGGGTTTCTCCATGTTGGTCAGGCTGGTCTCAAACTCCTGACCTCAGGTGATCTGCTCGCCTCGGCCTCCCAAAGTGCTGGGGTTATAGGCATGAGCTACCACGCCTGGCCTAAGAGAGTTTTTATGTTGGAAAGGTGAACTTTAAAGTTATATTCTCCTGCTTCTCTTCCCATGTAATCTTCTGAGCTTTCTTCCAGGTCCAGGCCAGGCCATTCCTGCCTTTTTGTTCTCAGTGATCCTTGTTTGGCTCTGAGAACCCATTTCCGGCCCCACCTTTAGTGAGGTACCATCATGTAGGGATTACTTGGATAATTTCTGTTCTTAAGCAAAACAAATTTTGTGTAGAGGCTCTTATTCTTTTTTAAAGTTGTGGTTCAGCATAATAATGATTGTGTGGCATCTATGGCATCATGATAAAGGCTCCTTGAATTATGCTAAACCTAAATATAACCTGAGGCACCCTATGCTCTACAAGGCTGAATCACCCTTTTACCAGTCTGTTGTAGCCACTGATTTTAGATGCCTAGGTGGCTGCTCTTTGATGAAAATACCAATGCAGGTCTTGTGGTAGGGAAGGTGGGTATACAGTCCTGGGCTGTACAACAGAACTTTTTTTTTTTTTTTTTTTTTTGAGACAGAGTCTTGCTCTGTTGCCCAGGCTGGAGTGCAATGGCACGATCTCGGGCTCACTGCAACCTCTGCTTCCTGAGTTCAAGCGATATTTGTGCCTTAGCCTCCCAAGTGGCTGGGATTATAGGTGCCTGTCACCACGCCCCGCTAATTTTTGTATTTTTAGTAGAGATGGGGTTTCACCATGCTGGCTAGACCGGTCTTGAACTCCTGACCTCAGGTGATCCGCCTGCCTTGGCCTCTCAAAATGCTAGGATTACAGGTGTGAACTACTGCTCCTGGCCTTGTACAACGGAACTTTAACAACAGTTGCTCAGATGATAGGGATATGAAGAGCCGGGAAATAGCTCATCTTCTTGAAATGGTTGCTGGCATATGCTTACATCTTAAAAGATTATAGAGAATGGTTATTCTTTCCCAAGAAATTGACGGATTCATGTTACTTTTACATAATGGTGTTTGATTGTATAAAGTAATTATGCTGATTTTAAAATTTCAAAGCAATGAATATATTTGTAATTTTTGTTAATAAAGTATATAAATTTTTTTTTGTAGTTTATTCACCTTGATGATGATTGCGTAACAGAACTTTCTGTACATCACAGAAACAACAGGCAAACAATGGAGGATTTAATTTCACTGGTAAGAAATACAGCACGGACTGGGCA